CGCATGCTGGACCACATCTGTAGAGGCGAGACCCGACTTCCGCGCTGTGTTGGAGGAGCTCAACAGAGAAGCTGTGCAGGAACGGGAGAAGAGGGCGTCTGGCAATCTGCTTAGTCATGTAAGTGATTCCGGTGGTAGTGGCTTTGATTAATTGCTCAATTGGGTGATCAGTGCATCCATATCCCTCCCCCTCCATCCCCTTGAAGCACGCCGGCCTTGCACAACTTTACCTTTTCGTTAACGGTGCTGTAACAGTGGATGTTGCGGACCGCTGAAGGTGCGGCCCTCGTGGATCAGTACTTGAACGAGTGCGCAGTTAGTGGAGCAGTACGGTGGTTTGTGTAAAGTGCTCAAAATCGCAACAGGTCACTCGCTCGCATTGGACACTCTACTACATCCACTTCCAAGCACTGTTGCATTTCGCCGTTTTCGCTTTGATTCCTGCCGTAGTGGCATTGACACTAGCACCTGCAAGGTTCATGTTGGTGAATGTTGTCGTGGGGAGTATTGAGTGTTCGATCCTATAATGAATGGTGTTTGGGTGTGTATAGGATGTCCAACGCCATGGGGTATTTTGTTGAGTGAAGTTGGTTGTTATGGAGCTTTCGGGAAAGGTGTACTGTGTTGACACTATTGTGCTACTAGTTGACTTTCGAACCAGTCCTTACGATTGCGCATCTCGCTGTAGAAATCTGTTGGGAAGGGTTCGCTCCTCCCACACGCAGGGTGTTTGAGGAGGGCTTCAAAACTAGCTATTCGAAGTTCGGCACGCTCTTGACTAAAATTGTGTTAGCTTTGTGGATTTCTCGAAATTCTTCTTCGTGGCTGAAAAGGAGGTGAAGTTTGGTGGTGCTGCGTTGTGATTGTGCACCATAGGTGGTAGTGTGCCATTGGAAGGTGGAGCATCCATTAGGAAGGTATTTCTCTGTCTCATTCGCGGCGAAACATGGGATGCTGTTGTGTCCTACAAAAAGAAACCATATCAATAATTTTAATTTATGAAAGGTTGCCTGTCTTTGGTGGACCAAAGATGATGTTTGTGTCCCTTGTCCCTCGGTACCATTGATCAGATCTCGTTGTCCGTTCCCTACCCATCTAGACAGTTTGGGTGAGGGGTCGAGAGCTTCTTCTCAATCCTGTTTGAACTGCTGAATGCGTGTTGCATTTCCTCCAATCTTCTTAATTACATGTGGAAGAGCAAGGTTGTCCTGGTTTGCGTCATAAACCTCACCGGTTTGTTTGCCGATTAATCAGCATTTTTCGTGGCTGTTCAGAAAACCAAAATTGCACGCTGAAGAAAGTCGCAAACGTCTACCTGATGCCTCATTCGATCATGTTGTCGGGACCATAGAAATGAAAGAATGGGATTGGTGGAGACAAGAGGGGGCGGATTGGAATGCTAGAGTCCTTACTTTGTAGTTGTTTTCGCGCCCACAGACTTATCTGCATATGAGAACGCAGAATTATCAGTGCAAGCTCGAGCTCGAGCGCACCAACTCGTAGAAGAATCAGCATGTCTGCAGCTGACAGCGGTGACGAGGCCAAAGCACAAGTTGGCACGCATGAGACAGAGGGACTCAGGTGCTCGTCTCGAAGTGAAGTTGATAGGTTATTTTGTGTAAGAACCAATATTGAAATAAAAGTGCATTTGGAGTGCGGATTTGTTGTTTGCATGCGTGTACAGTTAGACGACGGAAGGCTGTGGTAGTGCGGTGTTTCGTGCGATGGACGGCTGGAAGAGAGTGAGCAGTCGCAGGAATGTACCTCGTGTGACTTGGCAATGAGGGTTATCAGCTTACAGTCGGTCGGCTCCATCCATCGCATGCAATGGGTTTGAGGGTAGTTAACGTGGGCATGAAACGAGGGTGGGTTATCAAATTGGCAGTCAAAGTTAATTGGTTGGCGGTAGGTAAAGCCAACAGGAGACGGCGTTGGAGGTGTGGAGACAGTGGCGAATGTTTGGCCATGCGTCAGCCCTTAGCTTACAGTCGTGGCAGTTGTTACACATTTACGAGTGCACAGGTGTGTTGCTCACCTTGTGTTAGTTGAGTGTGGGCAAGACTTTCACCATCGTGTGGCGGAAATAGCGTGGTCATCAACCGACCGGAGTGTCCATTAGCAATTATTGTGGTGCAGATTTAATGCAACCGAAGTAAATAGTGGGGCGGGTATCTTAAAATGGGCTAGCGTGAACAGTGAGAGGAATGCAATCGGAGGAGTGAGTGCAGAAAGTATTGCCGCGAACGTGCGGTGCGTGGTGTAATCTGTGCATGGTTGTGGCGTTTGCTCTCATAGCATTGATTGGTTAACCGCAAGGCAGATCAAATGAATTCGAGGCAGAAGCAACGTCGATTAGGTGACTAGTTGGCGTTTGGAAGGGGTTAGGTTGCACTGTGGGATTTTGTCTGCTATGTGGGAAGGAAGCGGTCCGGATTTCCATCCCACTTGACGACTGGTCTTACTTAGGGCATTCGCAACATCATCAAATAATAAGTGGGGAACATGAAATCTTAGCCTCTTCGTCGGTGGCGGCTCGTGTTCCCCTTTTTAATGCCACTGTGGTCTTTTCGGTGCTGCTAAACAAAGTGCATTTCTTGCGGTAGGCGTTTGTGCAATCACTGATGTAATGAAGTTGATCTTATTAGCTTTTAGTAGTTTGTGAATTGGTCAACTCGATCAAAATAAGCAGTGAATAATGTGATCGGAAGTGTTAAAGATTGAAAAAGAAGAAGAAGAAGGAGAAGATGATGATGATGGAGTGAGGGGTTTGTTGGTTCAGGATGCTAACTTCTCATCTGTTCTGCCAAGCACTCGGCGTCTGAGAGCCTTTCAGGTGTAGAAGGAATGCATAGCGCAGAGGAAGTGTGTGCATTGATGTGGCACGGGGGGATTGAAGAACAGCTGGCATTGACTTAGTGGAGGGAAAGTTGGAGGATCTGCATACTTTCGTAGCTGGAAGGAGGATCAGAGTAAGTGGGACTGCATTGCACCGCTTTTTGGCTCACTAAAGCTGATCCGCTTCGAAGTCGACATGTCTTCCAGCACTAGCACATAGTTAGTGTTCACCCCATGGTTTGAAGTTTATCTGAAAAAAGTCGCTTTTTTGCTGGTGGAGTACCGTGAGTCATTTGAGCAGAAGACAAAGTTGGAGTGATCCAACCACAGAGCATTCGGTGTGCATCCCGTCAACTACACACGATACATACTCCAAAAGGTGGGACGTTACTTGCTACCTAGCATCTTTTATTGCAATGGCTGAAGATATTGATCTGCAGTATTATTTCGTTACAAGGCCAGGTAGTAGGGAATACGTGGAGCAGAATAGCGAGGTTCACTTTATTTGAACTTCATTCGCATTGACCGGAATACTCTTCCCATCTGCCAGTCGGATGACGTGTGTGCGGAGGTGAGAGGAAGGTGGACAGGGGTATTTGGGGAATCGGGTTTGACGATGGACAGTTTGCAATCCATACACTGGAAAGCAAGCTCAATGCGGTGGGTGAGGAGCGGCGAAGTAAGGCTGTGGGGGGAGGCATATAGGAGTCACGAAATGGGAGTGCTGAGATGCTTGAGTCAGCTAGATGTGATGCATAAAGGCTAAGGAAATTGTGAGGAGATGGACGGCTCGAGTAAAATGGAGCGAAAGTGGAGGAAGCGCAAAACAATTCCACTTCCCTGCTGAGGACGTGGTGATGTAACAGGAGTGTTAATTGGAGCGTAAAGTGGTTGGTGATTCATGCAATTCGTCTCAGAGTCTACAATTTGTGATTGTTGGGCAAGTAGTGAAGTGAACTTCCGACTAAATGGTGTCGTTTGAGTTGTACGAAAAGCCTGGGTGCCTAAAGAGGGGTCGCAAAGTGCACACAGTGTAGGTCTTCATCGAAGTAAGTTGAAGGGGAAGAGGAGGCATTTGTTGAAGGTGGAATTGGAGTTGTAGCCACGTGGACCTGGACAGAGGAGAGAGTGCAATCAGGTTGTGTGAAGAATGAGTCGCTTTGGGATGTACGGGAGGCCTTTGAAGCGCAAGCCTGGTGTTGACGTTTCAATATCCAATGGAGTTGATGGGAGGAGTACTGCACCAATCGATGGGCACTAGCCAAAGTGCGTGATCAGTGAGGTGCCTCACAGAATATCACCGCACTGTATTTATGCGACACTCGGACTGACTACACGATGTGAACTCCACGTATTAGGGAAGAAAATCTTGAGACCCCTCAGAAACCTCATTGTTGTGGGATTTTGGGGGTGCGAGCAAGGCCGAAACTGAAGAATGACAGTTTTTACGTCAGTGCGCCTACAACATGCGATGAACGTATGTGATGGGCAGTGCACCAACTGTGCTGCGGAAGTGGGGGCGGGGGACGTGCAAGGGTGCTGTTCAACATGAGACTGACAAGAGGGGATGTGGCGCAGGATACGCTGGCTGTCCTAATACACTCCCCGACGACCTTTGGTTGATGGCGATACTCTTCATGCGTGTAGCATCAATAATCACCCACCACAGTCCATTAAACGGCAGGACTTCAATTGTGGCACTCTCAAGGCTACGCTTAAGGCTTTGGAATTCAAATTATTTGGTGGGCGAACAATACGATGAAATTGCGCTGCCAAGCGAAATTGCGCTGTAAAGATTTGCCCAAAGACGATAAAAAAGGCTGAGAGTGTGGTGAGATGAAGAACTTGTGCAAAGATGGCGAGAAGAGGTGTTTGGTGTTGCTCTCGCATGATGATGAGCACTTTTAGTGGTGCACTGGCATTTCCTGCAGTGCGGACGGTTAAAGGGAGAAGTCCGCCTTGCACATTCAGCATTGGAAAGTGGTGCACAGTGTAGGTGTTACTTACCCCATTCCTCCACAGTCCACCCCTCTTCTTCACTTTGGACCAGTTAATGCTTGCAGGATTGGCCTTTTTGGGTGGAGTGTGCTACGAAGCGTTGCAAGAGGACCAGCAAGACTTACAAGTACGGAACGTTGAAGACGAGTTGTGGGCTACGGAAACGCGCATTACGCAATAGGCTTCGCCTTTATAACCCGAAATGTGCAGAGCTGTGTTCACCATGCAATTCGTCGCTTCTCCCTCCCTTCATTTCGCATGCTTGTGCCTAGGTCTGGTGACATGGAAGTCAGAACTCACCAATTGGTGGAACGTAATGCTGATAATGAGCCAGCACCTTACTACGCTCCTTCTTATCTCTCTCCAAGGTGCGAGTGGATTGTGAGTTGATGGGACAAGGTCTGACGTGTGTTGCAAGTTTACGTCGCACGCCTTTGCGTGGGTATGGGCCAGCCGTAAAAGCGTTATCTGGTCAGTGTGGGCACATGATGAGCCTTTTATCCGAACGGTGCGTGAAGGTGCGTGGAGTTGGGTGACGCATGACTTGCTCAAGAGTGAAGCACTCTGCTCGGTTCATCCTTCGTCCGAAATTGCCTTACCTTGTTTTGTGTGCATATGTGCGACAGAATTGTGGTTCTGAGGAAACCTCGAACGCAACTCCCAAAAGTAACGTGCCAG